CGTATACGCGCTCTGTAGCATATCCAGCCATTCCACACACTCCCGCACCCTTCCGACAACGTTTACGCGTTAGATCTGAGTCTTGGGTCTTCGTGTAAGTGTTGACGTCGTCGTATCCGTCTTCTCTGGTGCCGTTTAGCCTGTATCGTCTTCTCGCGCATCGTATAGGCTTGTAGTAGGTTGTAGCACGAAATCTATGAGCTTTTGTTAGTAGAAAACGTGTGCAAGATAATCTGGTACTTACTGTGGCGTGAAACTTCCGGACACTTGGTCGCAGCTTGGCGTGTTCGTGTGTGGATTGAGTGTTGGTCGCCGTTGGTAGACATCGCGTTGTTTAGGAATAGAGTGTGGGGTTGTCGTTGTCGTGGATGCCAGATGTCGTGATCAATATCGAGGTGTTGGGCATCAAGGTAAACAGTAGCGGTCAATGCATACAAGGAGTACATCGTACACAATGTATGCGTACACGAAAGGGTATGCTCGCTAATCTACCTACGTCACACCCCACCTGCCCTCTTCCTCTCCCGCTCCAAAAACAGGACATGGTATATCTGGTGTGTCCACTGCTCAAATACTCCAGGCAAGTTCCCTACCGCACCATCAATCATCAGTCCCAAATCCAAAAAACAGCGCGCATATATGTACTCACAATGCAAACAATCTGTCCCAGGCTCTGTATGCGCATCAGGCCTTTGCAACGCCTGGTCCCACACATCCATATAGAACCACTTGCCCGTCTCATCAAGCCCTGCAATCTCCCGTTCCCAAAGCGCGTTGTGCACCGCAAACAAATCCCAATCCCATCGTTTTCGGAAGGTGCGCCACTGCTCGTCCGGCATGGTTGAGATGAGCCGTTCGACGAGGTTGCGTTCGCCGATTTGGGCTGCTTCCGAGGAGCGGTAGGGGACGGTGAGGAGGTTGCAGTTTGGGTGGCCTGGGGAGGTTGCACGGTAGATTACGGAGAGTTGGGGGATTGGGGAGAGCCGGGATATGACGAGGTTCATCTGGGAGGAGGGTAAGTAAGGGGGGCATGAGGGGGAGCGAACAAACGAACCATTTGTTTGTATGTAGCTACTACGCGAGATTGTTCTTCTTCGTCGGATTTTCCGGCTGGAAGCATTGAGAGCTCGTGTCTTGACCACTGTATTACATCAATACCTGCAAAAGAAAGAAAGACAAAACCTACATGCGCACCACCATTCATAACCAACACGGTATCCTCCGTAACCGTCCCCTCCTCGCCCTCTCGTGGCCTAGCAGCATCCTCAACAAACCCTTCCCACCCCTCGACCCTCTTATAATCATGATACCAATAATACTCCTTTGACGCGCCCAACCCTTCCGTAATCTTCCTAATATCCTGTTCATGTATCAACATATGATCCTCCACCATCGTAATAATGGGCCGTAACAACCTCGACTCGGGAACACCAGCGCGCGCGAGGAGGCGGAGGGTGGTAGGGTCATTTTGTCGCAAGGCATGCATATGGATGCCTTGGTGTGCGTACAAGGGCAGATGAGGCGGGTTATGGTCGAATCGGATATCAGCCGCACGAAGAGAATAGCCCAGGGCATGCGAATGCTGCTGGGATATCGAGTCTACGTGAGTATTAGCGTCGTCCGTAAATACAACAACAAAGCGCACTCACCGCCAATAAGTATCAACCCACCCGGAGTCCTCAACATCTGAACAACAAACTCCTCCGGATCCCACTCCTTCATCTTCCCACTTGGAACCCAAACATAATTCATCAAATCAACCAACCTCTGTTCCTCCAACACCTTCCTCTCCTCATCGGTCACTTCCACCCCAGATATCGAAGGCGAAGGGATAGGCGCACGGGACCATATAGGTTCTTGCGTGTTCTTGTACGCTTCTTGAAAGTCTGCGAGGTTTCGGAATGGGGGAGTGCGTGCTGCCCAATGGCCTTTTAAACAGTCGTTGTATTGGCACCATTCGGGTGTGGGCGCGGGGACTGGGAGAGGTGCTTGGACGGAGTGGGTTGGTGATGTGTCAAAGTCGTCGTAGGGATGGTGGCTCTGATCGAAAGAGCTTGTCGCGTCACGTAAGAGGAGAAGTGTAAGAAAAAGAGTGGACAAGAGAGCTCCACAGGCCAGCAAACGCGTTCTTCGTGCCATGGGGCAGAGGAGAAAGAAGAGTTCCCGCGCGTTCACACCGTTTTGATGTATCTTTTTCAAAAGGTACGTCCAAGATTTTTTCATAATTAACCATAATTGGAGTTTGCCAAGTCAAACGCGAGCGCTCGAAAGTAACCGAGAGAGAATGTAATGTCCAATTCCAAGTATCTACACAAAACCTCCAACGCCAACCAACGCCCAAGTATCTAGTACATCCCCTCAAGCGCACCCCTAATCACCTCTCCCTGCTGCCTCTGATAAATCGCCCCAACGCCCGGCGCAGGAACCGCACTCTCCCTCCTCCCCACATACCTCAACCTCGCCTCCCCTCTCCCCACGCCCATCCCTTGCAACACACTCTCAATCCTAAACACCACATGCCCCCACGCCCCCTGATTCCTAGGCTCCTCCTGAACCCACACCCACTCCTTCGCATTCTCGTACCCCTTCAGCACAGACTCAAGCATATCAAACGGGAACGGAGCGAGCTCCTCAATCCGGATGAACGCCACGCCTTGGTCGAGCGACCGATCATGGCGGGCTTTGATGAGCTCGTAGTATACCTTGCCGGAAAGCATGACCACACGCTTGACTTTTTCCTTGTCCTGAGCTGCCACTGGGTCATCGAGGACAGGCTGGAACCGAGTCCCGGGCTCCATATCCGCCAGAGAAGACGAAGCGGCCTGTACAACCAAGTCATCAGCAAAACCTCGCAGGTAAAAAGGGAGAACCGAACATACCGACAAACGTAAAAGCCCTTTCGGCCCCGCAAGGATGAGAGGTTTCCGGAAGTTGCGCTTCATTTGCCTGCGCAAGAGGTGGAAGTACTGTGCTGGTGTCGTTGGGAAGACGACGTGCATGTTGATGTTGGCCGGCTCGGAGCCATCGTATCGGTCATTCGTCAACTGTTCACAAGTGAGCGGCGGGGATAAGGGGAGGAGGAAGGC